ATGAAAATAAATTAGTACCATAACCCTAAAAACTTATAATGAGATTAAATTTAAAAATTGTAATAATAAAGTCCTTTATTTAAACTGAATTATAAATACAGTGCTAAAAAATATTCTTTATAAAACAATGCTTACTGTGAAAAATGTCTATTACAACCAGGATAAAGTTTCTATAGAACTATTTTTTTCTAAGATAAAAAACATATTAACATAAAGTAAACATGGAAATCTTGCCATAACTTGGCAAGTTATGGCAAGATTTCCATAACTTAATTTTTTGCTAACTTATTTATTTGGAGTTTGCACAATGTGTGGAAGTGGTTTATCTGGAACATCAAAAAATCCTGCATAACTTTCTGCTAACTTAATTTTTTACAAAAAAAATTTATTGAAAAAATTAAGATATAACAAATTAAACAACTGATAAAATTGAACAGTGTCCCATTTCACCCCAAGTCTCTTGTCCCAAGTCACCCCATTACTAGGAGGTGTGAGAAAACTTTTATTTTATATAGTTCTCTTAACCATTTGCTAATTTTATTTCTTCAGTAATTAAATAAGACAAAAATAATTAATTAAAAAACATAAACATAAAATTATATGGAAACATAACATAAATATTTATTATTAATGACGTCTTCAAAATCCAAGAAACTTGTTAGATTTTAACATATTCGAAAATAATTTTAATTTTAAAATACTTTTGAAACTCAAAACACACAATAATATGAAGAACTTATTGTAATCTTATCACATATATAAAAAAAACTGCTTTAACAATTTTTTTGCTGAGAAATCGCCATGTCCCATCTCACCCTATGTCCCATTTCACCCCGTTCTCCCCTAAACATTCTATCCAACGTGTTTTATTCTTTTTTATCTCTGGGAAATTTATAAATTTTTAAAACGTTTGACTTCAATAATAAATAAGGGGTCGTCCATAAAGTACGTACGGGAGGGGAAGGTCTTCAAAAAGCGTAAGATAGCGTATAGGGGGAGGGGGTGGAGGAGGAAGGTTCAATTTAAAAGTACGTACTTCGATTTTCTAATTTTACACAACTAACCAGCTAGTCAATAGATAAGTTAAAATTCTGACTAAAGATCCTAGTTTGCCAGCATAAAATGATGTATTTTATAGGGAGTAGAAGGTATAGTTTCTTTCTATGCCTACACATGCATGTGCGCCCGCAGGATTTTTTGATGTTCCAGATAAACCACTTCCACATATTGTGCAAACTCCAAACTTAAGTATTTTTAAACCTATGCCATTTGAAGAGGTCTTGCAAAAAGTTGTTATGGTGATAGCCTGGTAACAAAAAAGCCCTCAAATGCTTGCATCCCCTTCCCTTCCCAAAGGTGATGGCACTAATATAATAAAAATTTCCGATCTCCTTACCCAACAAAAATAAATAAATGAGGGGTTGTACGTTTTGCATCGACATTAATTAGTTTGGAGTTTGCACAATGTGTAAATGTGCCTTATCTTTAATATCCTCCCCCCCTTCCCCCTCAAAAAAAAATGTGTCGTTAGAGTCTCAAAATCTTCCAAATTTTACTGCTAAGTTTTGCTAAAATAAAAAGCTCTTTAAAGTAGCAAAAGGGTACAAAATTTGCTGCTACCCCACAACACCCCATCCTCTCTAATTACGTAACCATACCACGTAATTAGAGAGGATGGGGTGTTGTGGGGTACACTCGGCAGTGGGTTTTAAACTTTGTTTTTAATGTTACTCTTCTCGCGTGAGACTCGCTTTTTAAGGACTTTCTAAAGAGGTGTGCCTAAAAAAAAACGTCTGCCATAAGTATATTTTATTTTTATTTAATGCGTTTCATTAAACAAAAAAATAAAAAAAAACCTTACCGAGAATCAAACTCGGATCTCAGCCGTCACTGCCTACTGTACTAGGTAAAATGCGAACTGCGAACCGCGAACTGCGAACTTGTAAAATGCGAACTTTTTTTCGAACCATCGTCCTACTGGTTGTTAATGTTGCAATGTTTTATTTCCGTTAAATAGTTAATTTAGCGGTATATCTTAAGGGCTTTTAAGCAAAAAAATTATTAAAAAATAAATAAAAGGAAATTCAGTGAAACTAGACAAATATAACATAAATTTTTTTTTTTTTTAATTATTTGATAGACTGCCTGCACAAACCAAACCCTCAGTCGATTTGGCAGCACTCCGTTGCGAGTCAGGCTAAAAGATAGTCGGTGTAGTAGCATTTCGTTGCAAGTCAGGCTATAGCATAATCGATGTAGCAGCACTCCGTTGCGAGTCAGGCTATAAGATGTAGTCAATGTAGCAGTTTTCTGTTGCGAGTCAGGCTATAAGATATAGTCGATATAGCAACACTTTACAATTAAAAAATTAAAATTTTATTCTAAATAAAGCTTTAAAATAGATAACTAAGAATTGGAGAGTTTTTTTTATTATTATTTTTATCATTACGCAGAATTAAACTTTATTTAAATTAATATTTGTATATATATTTGATGACGTTTTTATAAATGGGATTTTTTGCGGCTAAGAAAGGGCATATAAATACATTATACGTCTTTCATCCCCCTTCTTTCTATTTTTTTTTTTTGATATAAAAATTTATTGAAATAGAAAAGGTGGAGGATTACCCTAGATACTTCTAAAGTATCTTATCATTACTTTTAAAGTATCTAGGGTACCTTCTCCACCTTTTTTCTTTTAATAAATTTTTTAACTTAAAAAGAATAAATTGAGGGGGAGGGGGTATATGAAAAACGTACAGGGGGGAGGGGGTGTCAAATTTCAGAATTTTTGGCGTACGTACTTTATGGACGACCCCTAACTTGCAGAACAGCAATAAACACATTTCTATATTTTTCATAAACATAAACAAATATCGCCATTTTCATTGTAGACTAAATAGAGAAAAAGTTATGCAAACCAACAAACGGTGCTATTTAATTTAGAATTTATAGTTTAAAAAATTATCGCTTTTATTTAATGAGTGCTATTCACTTTATTGAAAAAAGTTTCATATACGTAGAGTATATATTTAACAGAATTTTTATCTTTGCTACACAAATTTTGTTTTTGCTACAGGTTCTCGTTTGATGACTTTTAGTCATAACGTAAGACCTCGTTGTTAATAAAAATATTGCCGTTAAATAGCTTAAATACATAATAAATTATAGGTGGTATTTATTTAGTTGCACAATAAAGCGATAAGCTGAAAGAGTGGGTATAAGTGGATTTTTTTGAATACACAATTCGCATCAATTTTGTTGTACAACTTATTAGAAAAAATATCAAATGATAAGAAAATAATATTTTTTTTATTTGTTTATTCTTTTTAACACCCAAATTACAGGTAAAAAAATTTTTTGCGGTAGAAGATAAAAAAAGTTCGCTAAAATTTGCAAACTTTTTATTTGGGCATTCTTTTTTTCTGTTTCAAAAGTAAAAAGCTTAAAATATTAAATTAAGGGTTAAATCAAGCCCAGGAAAAGCAGACTTTTCAAAAGTTGATAAACATTCTGTCAAAAATGCAGCTTTAGCCAGAAAAATTATTGAAAATAAAAATAGGAATTCAATAATGATAAAAGCAGAAATGGCCCTTGCATTAAAAATTAATTGTGATCTCAGTGATTTACAATAACCAATTCTTAGAAACTCTTCACTGAAACAGAATGCAGAGATATACCCTTCAGTCAAAGTAATATTTGATGCAAAATCTAAATGTTATCCAGAAATCTTGGAAATTTTAAAAACATCTGCCAAGTATTATGCGGTTTTTTTTCGAATTTAATAAAATTTTAAAAATTAAACGGAGAAAGTTTTTTTTCTGTGAAAATTTCGTAATAATATGACGGTTAACCATCTAATAATTTATATTTTTTAATCTACTTATTTTTAATTTGAGCTTATAGCTTTGATTCTAACTTAGTCAATAACAATGGCCATTTTATTATAGCCCAATATCATCACCCTATGTTGATCATAACCCTCGATCTTGATTAAGTTTTGTTAAAATATAATAACCAAAGACAAAAAAAATAAAAATGTATAGAATGAGTCATTGGTCTGTTGTAAAATGAATTTAAAAATTCGTATCTAACCATGCAGTGTGAACAGCCCTAAAGCTATAGCTTGCTGATTGCAAACTTTTTCTCTAATTAAGTTAGTTTATTAAATTTATTTAAATTTAATTATTTTTAATTAAATTTAAATAAATTAAACTTTTACTTCCGAACAAAGTTCGAAGAAAAATTCTACAAAACTTTCGAATTTTTTTATTTTGACAACAAAAATCGTGTGAAGAAACCAATGGCGGAAACTTTAAAATTTAAAAATAATTGTCATGAGGATAATATATTTAGTAAATAAAAAATTAAAATAACTTTTACAATATTTTAAAATATATTTATTATTTTGTTTAAAAATATATATTAATATATATTAAACATATACAACAAAAATTTTAAATATATAAAATATTAATCAAAAGATTTCCACATAGCATTACTATTAACTCAATTTCTATTTTTTATTCATTTTTTCTTTTCATCAATTCTAGTTTTTATTTATTTATAACTATATATTTTATACTTTAATAAAAATTATTATTAAAGTTAATTAAATAAGAAATTATAACTTAAATTTTAAACATTCGTTTTAGAAGTTGTTGAAAAATTAAAAAATCTTTTTAGAATAATTTTTTAAATAATTATGTAGCAAAAATAATATATATAATAAAAAAATATATATTTAATAATAATAGTAGTATATAAAATATAAAATAATTAATGATTTATATTATTATTACTAATATTTTAAAACAAATATATTAAATTGTTTTAAACAAAAGTTATTATTAAATAATATTAAACAAATTAAAATAATATCAAAAATATAAAACTAAAATATTAAAATTAATTCGTATATTATAAAACCTAATTATAAAATAATATATTAAATATTTCATTTATTATTTTATAATTATTGTTTATATTTTATTTAAGATATTAAACATTTTACTGTGTTATAAAGTTTTTTAATTTATCGAGGTTAAAAAAATCTTTACAACGGTACTCGATCCTCAACCACTTGAGATTCAAACAACGAATCCATTCACAAATCTCTTCAATGAAATCGATGTCTTTGTGAAGGTAAAGATGTAATCTTTCACAAAGATTAATCCACGGAAGAAAAATTTCTTCAAAATCTTTTTTGGTTATTAAATAAATTTCGATGTTTATCCACAACGTTTCAATCTTATCTTTCGGTTTCAATCCTTCTAATTTAATTGGACAAGAAAAGAAGAAGACATCGCGAACATTTGTTGAACATTGAATTATAAGATTTTTTTCTTCATCACTTAAAATATTTTTATCAACACTTAACGTCGATAACTTTCTTCCAGATTTAATGTAATGATTTACGAAATAATTTTCACAAGAAGTTTCGTAAGAAGTTTTTCCATCGTCAATCCAAATCATCCACTTTCGTTCATCGACGATTAATTTTATTTCATCAGTTAATGATGATTGACTTTCATAAAAACATTCAATGAATAAATTAACGTAATAATAATTAAGTAGAAGATCGATTAATAATCTTTATAGTCTTTATTTCTTTGACGAGATAATTTAAGTAGACGATCTAAAGAAAAAATAAATATAAAATAACAATTAAATAAAAATTAAAATAATAATCGAAATTATAATATCATATACATTATAATATTCTACATATTAATACATAAATCAATATCAATTTCTAATTATAATGATATTTTATCATTCACATATTTAAATATTAATTTTTTAAATATAATTTTTATCACATTTTTAAAATAAAATAATTTCATTTTAATATAAATATAAATGATTAAAATAATATATAACATATTAATTTAAATAAATAAAAATACATTCCAAACAAACGTAGAAATTGATTTAAATTCACAAAAACAACATCGTTCACTTGTTTTAATAACAAATGAAGAAATCGTACTTTATTCAATTAGATTTTAAAATTTGTGAATCGACTTAGTAAAAATAAATCAAATTTAGAAATATAAAATCGAAAATCTCCTTCGACTATCTTTTTTAAAATAAGTTATGTGAATAAAAAACTCAAAGAGTGAGAGTTTAAATATTCGATTTCAACGTTGATTTAAAATGCAAAAAAAATTATTTTTGTTCATAATAATAAATTGAAAACTTTTTGTTTTAGAAATATTTAAAAAAATAAATAATAGAAGTCGTTAAAATCTTTATTTCACAGAGTCATTTTATAAATATATTTTTTTACGTCAAATATTTGATATTTCACTGTACTTTTAAGCTCGCTCTCGGAGTATTACACGTTTTGTTAATTCTTGTATCTTTATAAAATAAATTTATATATTAAAAAATAATGATACGCTTGATACCTATACAAAAAATTGTTTTGTACCAATTTGAATTAAGTTTCAAAATACAATTTCTTAAATAATTAACTAATTATGAAAATTAAAGCTTAAATTTAGTTACGGAGGACCTGTACACGGCGCAACCCTAATTCGGTGAAGTTCCTAAATGAACTCGGTAAAGTTGGAAACGATAACTTTGCCGTTTTATGATTGGCTAATGTTAAAGAATAAAAATTTAACATTAAAGTTTTCAATTCGCGCTTTTTAACCCTCCAAATTAAGTAAAATGACACCTTTAGCTGAGTTCATTGAAAATATCAAAGAGGAAAAATTGGTTGGTTTTTAGCAACACAAAAGACAAATGCCACTTCAAAATCTTTGTTTTAATTTACTTTCTAGATTCTAGAAAGTAATTATTGTATTTTCAACAGACTTCATTTTTATTTTGTGAATTTGTAAATCTAAGTTTTACTTCATCAAATAATACAGTGACATTCTAGAATCTAGAATGTCACTGTATTATTTTTTTATTATGTATTTTTATAATATAATTTACTTAATAAAAAAAAGACATAAGCTCGTTATAAAAACTCCATATAATCGTCGTAAGTTATTGTTTTGCAACAATTCAAATTTAGTTTCAAGAAATAAATTTTTAAATAAAAACAAATAATAAATTTATATTGAAGTATACTTACGACTTTTTTAAGCTTAAGAGGTTTTGTTACCAGTGTTAATTAAAAACAGTCGTAACAAAATGAGATTTTATATATTTAAAAACTCGATCATCGAACACAAAAAATCCTTTGACAAATTCGAAGAAAACAAATGAAATTCGAAACAACCGTATTGCTAATAGATATCGCAGTTTATTGTAACTAACGCAACCGTTAAAAAAATTTTTTTTGTGACTTTTCAAGATGAATTCTTTGATAGCATTTTTATAAAAGGACTATATATCAAATTTAAAGCTTGATAAAATGTTCATTAATAATTTTGACATTTTCATTGGATAACTTAAAATAATCATTTTTAAGATTTCAAAAAAAAATTATTAAAAAATAAAAAATAAAAAAAGTTTAAAAAAAATTAATTAAAAAAAAAGTAAAAAAAAAAAAAAAGTAACTTAAAAAACATTTTGATAATAAAAGTTTAAAAAATAAGTGTATAAACAAGAATACAAGATTTTGATAAAAGAAAAAAACAAAAAAAAAACAAGAAAAAAAACCGAAACAAATAAAAACAAAGTTAAAAGTAAAAAGTCATTGAATATGGATAATAATTAAAAAGAAATAAAATTTTTTCTACCACCAATATTTAATGGAAAGAAATTAAAGAGAACAATTTTATTTAATTTTGTACATTGTTTATATGTTGTGTATTTATGTATATAAAAAATGTTGAATGTATTTATTTCTTTGCATTTTTCTCTGTGAATTTAGTTGCTGTTACTTTTTCTATATCTTGATATACATTTTTGTTTAACTAATCTATATAATGCGTAATACAGACTTTAATATTGTAAATAGTAGTATATGTATATATTTATTTTGTATTAAAGCTTGCCTTTATTTTGTTTTAAAGTGACAGAAAAAATTATCTGTCACTTTATCTTTCTGAAATTATGTAATTAAATTTTTTGTTTTATCATTTTTTTCTTACTCGTCTTATCTCATCCCCTCTCTCTCTCTCTTTTTTTTTTCATTTTTATTAGCCTTACTCTTTTATATTTTTGTTCTGATTCCAACTTTTTAAATATTGCTCCTATTACTTCCTTTTTTAATACTTGTATTAATGTAGTTTACTTTATTATTCCCTTGTTTTAATATTTTTTTATTTTATTTGTGAATTTTATTAAGATGTCACTCCATTGACTAGTTTTTAACTATATGAGTGACACCTTACCTAACTTTTTAAATTATAATTAAATTTGCAATTTTTGATTTTATGGTTAAACAAATGAATAAAAAAAATATATTTTTTCTTCAATAAAACAATTAAAAGACAATAAAAAGATTCATTAACGTCTTTGATGTAATTTAAAAGTCACTATAAGATAGATGTACCAGAATTCCGGCCTGATATTTTTTCTTTTAGATCCACTTGCTTCTGGCTGTAATTAAACTTTTTTTTTTACGACATGTCACACAGGCTGTGTGAACAAATTATTATCCTACACAATTGATCTGAAAAAAAAATATTCGGCCGGAAATCGGTATATCCCAACTATAAGTTAAAACTTTATAATAACAGAAAAAATTTGTAAATTATTATAAGTTACTTTATTAATACCTATAAACAAACAAATAGTGCTAAAAATAACTCGCATATAACAAATATCAAAAAAATATTTACCTAAATTAAATAAACGTAACGACAAGACAAATGAAACGATTATAAAACACTGTTTTAATTGTTGCTTTTCTGATATTCAGAATTTTTATCTGTAATTGGTTGTTTAGTGAACATTACGGACGTATAAAAAAGACAAATACAAACAATAAATACAATTAATATAAAATTAGTGTGTCAAAAAATAACTTTGTATTAATTAATGTATTAATGAATGAAGTTGATCATTATTAATACGTTATTTATAAGTCTCTAAGCTCCACCTTTTATTACTTTGAAGAGGTGTTACATAGGTGTTAAAAAGTAATTTTAGTTAGGTGTTAAAAAATAAATAATGTTTAGTGAAAACTTGAATTTTTTAATCTTCAAGTTCTTTGGTTTCAGTTGTTGAAATGTTTCACAGTTTTGCAACAATTGACTTTTAATACAAAAACATTCTCTAGCGTACAAAACGATCGCGGCTTTCAAAAAAACCAAAAAAACCAACAACTTAATCGTACAAAACATTTTTACAACTGTTGCATGACATTTCTACATTAACCGAAACAAAGTTAGTGCATTATAATAATATTTAAATAAAATAAAATCGCCATTCCCCCGTGACATTTGTGAGATTTTACAAATAAGTAAATGCCCATTACTAGGTTAAAAAAATCAGGCAAAACACATGAAATAAATAAAGTTTTATATTTGTTAGAATATTTTGTATATTTAAATGAAAAAAATATTTATTTAATGAATTAATTTTAAATAATAAATTTTATCAAGTAACATAAATATTTAACTCTTTTTACATCGGCGAAAATTCCCCATAAAAACTTAAATCAAAATTTTTTAATTTGAATTAAATTTTTTGTTTTGTTATTTATATATTATTATCGATTTAACAATCAACATATAACATAGTAACCATATAAAAACACAAAACTGTAAACTAAAAGAATCAATCCATAGATAGTTTTATTCAGTATAAAATTATCTAATAGACATAAAATGAAGTTACGATATTAAACTAATATAATCAGTAATCATATGTGGAGAGTTTGTGTGAGCTGTTGTAAAATTTAGTTAAAATTAGAATACTTTTTTTTTTATTTGCTATTTTAAATTAATTTTTTTTTTCAACATTTAATATAAAAATATTTTTTAAAATAATGCAATACTGCTTTTAATCTAATACACTTAGCAGCAGAGTTAAACTATTTAATGAGAGTAGACTTAAACTAGTCGATGACAGTAGACTTATATTATTCACAGACAGTGGATTTAAACTATTCCATGACAGTAAATTTGAACTATTCGATGACAGTAGATTTAAACTATGCAGAGGTGTGGTTCTATTGCTCATTGCAAGTTAGTAATAACTTTAAAAATACGCAGAAAAACTGAAGTAATAATAAGATGATAAATAAAAATTTATATAAAAATCCAAAGTTTTGCACTTCACTGTTGACAGTATGAAAACATTTTATTAAATTGATTACTAATGTAAAAATTGATTAAAATTCTTGGACAAAGTTCAAAATGTGTCGGCAAACAGTTTCCGTTGACATTTTTTTTTATTTCGAATTTGTTGAGGGCCACTGTGACAGCCATAAAAATTTTTATAAAATTTATTTGGCTGTCAGGTGTCATCAGGGTTAGAGTTAGGGTATGTTATGGGTATTTTTTTAATTTAATAACTGTTGTCACTGCTTTTGTGTTTTTTTTTTATCTTCTACTCATTAAGTCAACTATGTGACTCATTAAGTCAACTATGTGTTCTGTAATGGTACTTCAGCAGATATTTTTCATCTTAATACTGAAAAATGGGCCTCCTTAACAATCTTTTGGATTCAGGTAGGAGTCGAAGGTTTTATTTTTACTTGTGAATCTTCCATTTCTAAATATAATC